CGCAAAAAGTCGGAGGCTCGATTTTCACGATAGAGCTATAGTTCCTTGGGCAAAGTTTCTTAAAACGACCCGTAGAACACCGCTAGGATAGGTAAAACATCGAAAAAAAATTTGACCCGCCCTAATAAGTATAGCTGTTATAGTATCGTTTGTAGGTCAAAATCAATCTAATCCTTTTAATTCCCACAGTTTTATGGCTTAAAACAGGTTCGTTGCTCTTTTATTTCGGCAGCCATTTTGTCGTCAAAAATTTTCTCTAACCGGTCCGGTCCCGTCGACACGGGTCGAAACGAGATTATTGATATCTCTGTTGTGTACCAGTAGTCTTGTAATAAACGGTTAGCAGTTAATGATGACAATATAGGAAAACACGTTTTATTCTGGTTCCAGAACATAAAAAAAATCTTTTTTTCTTCATCGTCCTACAATAATTAAATGTTAACATTTTATCAATGCAAATAACATTTACATAGCCGTAACTAAACGGTCTGGATTTCATATTGTATATAAAATAAAATATCCAAACGTCAAAAACAAAAGCTATGTGTATGAATATATGAAAACCTTTTCTTATCAATCAAGAAAGATAGATCGATTTCTTTCTCCGTTACGCATGATTATCATTTCGAAGGAAATAAAAAAAGAGAAAATCTTTTTACACTAGTGTATCATCAATGACCTTCTTCGTTACGTTATTTATACGTATTTCTGAGCATGTGATAAAACAAAAATATGAAATGACAATAATGAACTAGTTGACTATATGACTAACGAACAAACAAAAGAAATACGAAACTACGCGATACTTGCTCATCCTGTGTTTATAACAAACATTGACGATAAACTACTGTCTTATATTACAAATGTATACGATTTTATTCAAACACTGGCAAAGAAAAATTTAAAATAAGTATTTTTAAATTAAATTTGAATTGTGTTTATTCAACCACAAATGTAGACAAGCATGTATGTACACACGTTTTCCGTTTGAAATTTGTGTCTATATAAATAAAAGTCAGTCTAACTAGTAACGTATATATGAGGATCATCTTATATAAGATGATCGTCATATATCAGCTAAATAGACTGTTGAATCCTATTCGAGAACTTTGATTATGTCTATCAAAAAATATTTGATCGCTTTAAGTCATGGTTCGAAAAGAGCTAACGGAAACCTGAAACAATGTGCATAAATTAATTTTTCCAGCGTAATTTTCTTTTTCTAGATCTTTTAATTCAAATGATGGCATAAAGTCGCCACATATCAGCACTTGAAACTAAAAACTTTGAGGTCAGTTTATGAAATGAATCTGGAGTAAAGTTGAATCGTTGAGAGTTTGACCAAAAACCAATTAACTGTCTTGGCGTTTGCCTCATTTAACAATGTGACTGGAAATTGATTACAACTAATCAAAGCTAACGAATTTCAACATAATTTGTACATCAATCGATAGACGGTCAGACTTCGTGTGACCACTGTAAACAATTGACTAAAATCTCAGGTTGTTTACAGTTGCCTTGTTACGAAGCATAGGATTACGGCCAAATTACGTCAGGTTACGGTCATTTACGGCGTATTACGTTACAGTACATCATCGTAATGTGCCGTATATGGCTATCGTAACCAATGACTTAGAATATCTTGACTTTTTTGCTTTATTTTATTTTTCCCGAGAAAATTAAATTTTAAAAGGAAGTAGAGCCATTTGAGTAATACCGGTCAATGTTGAAAATCTTCTCAGTCTTTTGCTGATAGCTGAGCCTTCATTCATAACTGGAGAAAAACGTTTTTCATATAAGTAAATAACGTTGACTTTTATCGATCGATTGATGTAGAAATTATGTTAAACTTCGTTAGCTTTGATTAGTTCTAATCAATTTCCAATCGCTTGCTATTAAATGATCGAATTTACCCCCATTTGGAGGCAATTCCGGCCAACATAGCCAAAATGACTGGTATCATCTAAAATTAACTGTTATTCAGCGATAAACCGTCACATTTGTAATTAAAACTGACACTTGATATGCAAAATTGTGATCGCTGTCCCTGTGTGATTTCTAGCTCAGTCGCAATTATGCTTAATTAGTTAATTAGAATCTACAGAAATCAAAAGATAGTCATTTATATATATATATATATGTGCTCTGGCGTAATTCCGGTCATTTAATAGCAAGCGACTGAAAATTGAGTAGAACTAATCAAACCTAACGAAGTTTAACATAATTTCTACTCAGAGACAGGATATCTAGACCTTGACCTGTGACCCGCGCGCGTCAAGGTCAAAACTTGTAGGAGAAACTAGAAAGTTTAACTGTAAGGTGGCTTATTGTTATTCGATCTAATAAACAATTTTGCCTCGGATCTGGTCCTGACCTATAAAGTTGAACCTGGACCTGTGGACCCGCACTTGAAAAAAATAGATCTAGACTTGGACCTGACCTGAACCTGGACCTATGACTTGAACCTGGGACCTGGACGCTGGGTCCGTTGCACGATAAATTCTGATAGTGCGAATTTACAATATCCTGTACTAGAGTTTAAGAACAGTTCTTAGAATATATAAGAAGCACGGGATAGATATTTTGAACAAAAATGTCTTTAGGCAATACGGTTATTACGATTTTTCCTATTGTTCTCAGAATTTCCAACAGGAGAGAAAATGTGTATGAAATAATTCAGTTTCACACTGCTAGATATAGTTAATGGTTGATATGTTGCTTATGCCGACAGGTCACAATAGAGGTTCAGGTCAAAGTCCAGGTCCCCTTTTCCAGGTTCACGTCTTACAGGTCCAACTCCGCTTTTGCTAGTCAGGTCTGGACATTTGACCTGGACCATCCTGTCTCTGATTTCTACATCAATCGATAGACAAAAGTCAACTTTATCTACTTATATAAAACGTATTTTTCTCCGGTTATGAATGACTCAGCTGTCAGCAAAAGACCGAGAAAATTGTTGACACTGACCGGAATTACGTCACATGACTCTACAATATGCAGCGGCTAACCATTTTCGGCGCTTTATACAATCAACTTGCTTTTGATTTGAGCTGATTATCTTTTACACTGGCGACCAGTAGATTAGTATACATGGTATGGATATATCATTTACCTCTAAACGAAGTATTCTATAGTTTTAGTGTTCAAATTGAGGTGATTAATACGCCTTGATGGTCGTCGTCGAATAATAATTAGAAATTATAATATACAACTTGTATTTAATTTCGAACCTTAGGTCAATGGTAACGAGTTCTGCAATTAAACGAAAAACAAATTTTATGCTATTCAAACGCAATAAAACGCGTGGACCAACGGGTCAAGCAGAACACTGGAATTATAGTCCACATCGTGCTTCATTCAATCGTCGTCCAACATCGTCTGCTTTCGGGGCGAGTACAGGTGGAACACTTGTTCATTTCACTGATCCAACGTAAGATCTATTTAAGATTATTTTTTCTTTTTCATAAATCTGTAAGATTATACAGGGTGATCCAAAAAAAAGTTACTCCCTGTGTATTTATTGACTTTCTTGTGTACAAATATAATTGAACTTTTTACCATTAGTTTATTTAAATAGAGCAAAGATTTGTGGACAAAATGAGACGTTTCCGAGCTCTCTAAGAACTTTTTTCACGAAACAGCATTGAATTTACGGAAGGTCCCAAGAGCATATTTTTCTTGTTTGCCCATTAATTATCCCGATTTTGGTGGTATGGGGTAAATTGAATGCTGTTTCATGAGAAAAGCTCTTCGAGAGCTCGGAGACGTCTCATTTCGTCCACAAATCTTTGCTCTATTCGAACTAATGGTAAAAAGTTCAATTATATTTGTACACAAGAAAGTCAATAAATACACAGGGGGTAAGTTTTTTTTGGATCACCCTGTAATATTGATCATATTTTTAGTCAACCAGTGACATTGCACGTATTTGCGTATGATGAAAATATAAGTCACGACCAAAAATATAAGAAAGTCGATGAGTTACCGACAACAGAAATCGATGGGAAAATGATATGGATCGATGTGGATGGTGTCCATAAGCAAGAAATTATTTCACAACTTGGTCGACGATACGATATTCATACGTTGGTACAAACTGATATAACAACAACAGAACAACGAACAAAATTAGATGTTTTAGATGATGCTTTGTTTCTTGTCTGTAAAATGATATATAGAGATACGGCTAAGAGTGAATTGACACTTATTGAACAAATTAGCTTTTATTTAAAAGAAAATATTTTAATTACATTTCAAGAGACGCCCAAAGATTTATTTGACACAATTAAAAGTAAGTGTGAAACAGGACAAGTTTTATTGAACTTTTTCCTTCGTGTCTGTTTGTTTAGATCGTCTTCGACAGGGAAAGGGGCGAATTCGCAAGTCAAAAATTGATTACTTGTTTTATAGTCTAGTAGATATTATTGTTGATCGTTACATGGATGTATTAGATACAATGGGTATGAAGGTAGAAGCAATTGATAATCAATTAATGAAAACGTTAAAACTTGATACATTAGAATCAATTTACGATATGAAGCGAGGTATGCTTTATTTGAGAGCGATTATATCACCATTGAAAGAAATCATTATCAAATTACAAAAAGAAGAGGAGACACAGATAATGCAAGAGAGTACAAATATTTATTTAAAAGATTTGTTTGATCATGTTGTACAAGTAAACGATTCGATAGATACATATCGTGAAATGTTGGCATCATTTATCGATTTTTATATGATGTTAAACAGTAATGCAATGAATGAAGTTGTGAAAACTTTGACCATTATATCGACTATATTTATTCCATTAACGTTTATATCTGGAGTTTACGGAATGAATTTTCATTGTAAGTATCACTTACGTTTTTATGATCTATTTAAATCATGTCTCTTCTGATGTAGATATGCCTGAGTTAACATACAAATATGGCTACTTTATTGTACTTGGCTTTATGGCGTTTCTAGCAATCACAATGCTCTCATGTTTCAAAAAAAGAAAATGGTTTTGATGTGAATAAATTTACGTTCCGTCGACGAGATAGAGTGTGTATGGTATACCCGGTTAATTTCATAGCAATAATGCAAATAATGATTTTATTTGTTCGGTTATAATTTCCTGTTCAAATAAGACCATATTGTACGGGTCTTCTTTTGTGATGTATTGTTAAATAAGTCTTAATCTTAATTCAGCTTTTTTTCCACATATGAATTTCTTTAAGTATTACATAATCATTTCAATTTTACGTAATTGTTTTATCAAATTGTTGGTTTGTTAAACAAGAAATATAAGTTTTGTTGTTCAAAACATCGGCCAGTGTAATCGTTGCTATATTTTGTTGAAATAATACTGCAACAAACCATCTCAAAACACCTGTTTAGAAACGAAACCAATGAAAAGTATCACTTAACTTTAGAAAATAATGAATTTACTCGAAAAGCAACTAATTCTAGTTTTATTTACACTGCTTTATCATCGCCTAGGTGGTGCCACTACTCGTTTTGTCCTGTTCATTGGTTCTGTATAGCCAATAGTCGGAGTAGATCAATAAATAAAAATAAAGAGTTAAGATACGGTAAGGACTAATCGTAGAAACATAATGTTACAATAAATTTAAAAAGTAAAAACGTCCGTTGATTGTGACATCTGGTGCTTTACGTTTGTTCGTGACGAATCCTAACCATGAAAAGGTACTTCTATAGAAATAGATCTAGCAGAATATGCTAATGGAAAACATCATTCACTTGTGTCAAAAACTCTGTTTAAAAAAGATGTTTAGAATTACAGAAATGCAGAAAGTAAATTGAGATAAAATGGCCAGAAGTTCAACAGTTAATCAGAAAAACTTGTTTCGTTTAAATATGGTTCACAGAAATATTGAAAACGGTACGACTTATGTGTTCCTTTGTGCAAATCCTAAAATTTTCCATTATAATATAAAGGTCTCACAGAAGTATCACGTTTCACTCAAGAAAATCTTCCAAAGTATAGACAGATCAATTATGACGCTATGCGAAATATTATCACTCAGCGAAAACAGATCGGATCCTTGGCTCTCGAACGAGGTTTGGTATTAAAATATTTTAAATTTCTGTTTTTTACTGATATTAACTCATCTACTATGTAGTTGATAAACTTCAACAAGAATCACAGAATATTCGTGATAAATCAGAGTTGAAAAAACTACAGCACTATTGGCTAATTGAACAAAAACGTTTGAATCAACATTATATGAGACAAGACGCTGATCACTCCCAGTGGTTGATCAGTGCTTTTGCTGACGATGATTTACGTTCAGTAATGAACGATATTAATAGGTTTCGAATATGGATTGATGATGATTTTATTAAATTTCGAAAAACAACAGTGCAACCTATTATTAGTCTAAGGTAGAGTTAATATAAGATCTATTTATTCGGAAGCGAATTATAAGCAGTTTAACTCTTTTGTTTAAGAGACGATTTACAATTGCAAATCAGAGAACAAAATAATGAAATTGATGAACGAGCAGTATTTGATGCTATTCAATCTGTTAAAATTCAACAAAATGAATTAATTGAAATTCTACGAGATGAAGAACGAAGAATAGCAGTTGAATTAAAAGAGTGTAAGAGGTAGCAAAGAGAAAGTTTTAGACTAGGTTTACTGATCATCTTGTATGCCTTAGTTCAGGCGACTATAGAAGATGACGAAAATCAAATTGAAAATGGAATACCAGATCGCATTGTTCACCTCGATTGTCCAGATGATGAACTGAAAGGTAGAAAACATTTTTCCATTTGTATAACAGAGTATGAATAACTTTTTCTTCATTTTGTTCGTTCAGTAACAATGTTACAAGAATTTCTGATTATTGATCATAAATATCAAGAAAAACTTGTTGATTTAGACACAATGTATTTGAGTACAATCAGGTATAAATTACAAGTAGCATAGATGAGCTAGCAAATCTCTAACCTACGTATATATTTCAGCATGGAATATGGAGGATATGGCATCGATGAGCATGAATTGTTTCTTCACTTGTACGACATGTATCCAACTCATATAAATCAAAGAAGAACACTCATTTATGATCATTTGAAAAAACATTTTCCAAAACGATCAAGACAAGAAATGGTAATTAAGTTCTCTTGGTTCAGACACAATTAAGGTATCTGAATGATTCTCTTCTTTCCAGTTAAAACACGAAGAGTGGTGTAATGCCGAAAAATATTATCATAAACACAAACGTTTGATATATTACGAATGGTAAGTTTATATATGAACTCTATTTCTTCATCTACACATTTGTCTTCTGCAGGAAACAAGCACGTATTGGACTTGAATTAAGAACAGAAGCCTGTTTTCAAGAAGCATTTGAAATACAAGAACGTCTAGCACAACAGCGAGAAGAATCTGCTAAACAACGAAGTGTTTGCGAACAGTTAGCATTACAAGTTGGTAGTATTTCGAGTGTATCATAGCATAGAAATAACACGATGCTATTGTTTCAGGTACAAAAATGGAGGGATAAACAATTAGAAGTGTTAGCTGTTCAAGAAATGTTAAACGATGCAAAAAGAAAAGAAGAATTGGAAAAAATACAGCAAGAACATGAACGAGAACAAAAGCATCGTCAAGTTTTGAAAGAAAAGGTCAGTTGAAATAAACAAGAATAATCAAGTTTAATATTTTAGTTTTTTATTTTAGCTGGCTGATTATCATTCAAGAAAAGATCAGGAAAGATCGAAAAATGAAGAATTAGAACGAAAACGTTTGGAAGAAATGCAGGCCCATTTAGCTGATCAAGCAAACAAAGATTGGGAAAGGTAATAAGCAATTTTTTTCAAACGTGAAGATTTTTTTCTGCTCCATTACAGAATCCGTTATCGAAAAGAAGAATTTGATAAAAAACGTCAAGAAATGCATGAAAAAGAAGAAGCACAAAAACAAGATGAACGCGAACGACAACAAAGACTTGATGCACTAACTGAATTAGTTCGTCCACATGTTGAATCGGATTTTTCTCGAGTTATGCAACCAACTAAAGTAATAATATCTCTTAAAGTTTAAGTCATTCACTTTTCTGTTAACATCTTTTAGGCATTCAATGCTAAACGCGGTTTGGTGGCTGGCGTTGATGACGATATTGTTCTCCAACAACCACTCTTTCCTATCCATACATTTACCGACAGAAAACTATATGGTGATATTAGAATTCGACTTGAACAGCGTTTACGCGATGCGGGACTTATACAGACTGACTATGCCCGACAAGCACTAGCTAAATTACAGCAACCTACAAAAAGAATTGATACGATTGCAAATAAAGAATGGACTGGATATACATTCAAGGATATTCCACAACAAGATAGTACTTTCTATCGACCTATAAAACGAGACTTCATCAGTAATCCTGTGTCTTATGGAATGAAAATGGAGTAACTTCTATTTTCTCCAGTCTAGCTTTTTTATATAGTTTTTTTAGTATCGATCAGACAGTTAGTTTCAATTTTATTACTGTTTTACCAGTCACACCGAGAAAGTTTTTATTTTTAAAACATACATAGTCATCTTATTCGTCTCACATAAAAATATAATGTTTTTCTGTAAGAACATTAACGTAGCACCAAAAAATTTCTATGAAAAAGCGATTTGAAAAATATTCAATGAATTACCAAATAATGATGTTGATGTTGTAAAAGATTCTAATGACATAGGGGGAAATTCGTCGTTTAATTGAAATTCATCTTAACTAAAGTTCAAGTAATGAAGGTTTGATCGTAAATCGTATAGTGAATAGAATATTGCACTCTTTTCGTCTAGTTCCTTTTTATCTTCAGCTCATAATGAATGATATATATAAAATTCATCACACACTAAATCCTCGTATTGTGTTACTATTCCATAATTGTGAACGAATGTACTACTTTTTATTTTATGATAAAATATATCGATTGGTCGTGCATGTGTTCAATATGTCGGATAATTCTGTGCTGTTAAGCGTTCAAATAATAAGTCAATAACTTATTTTCACGCTTCATTCTGTTTATCAACGGCTGCATCGCAATTATTATTATTTTTCTGATGTTTTTTCTTGTAATGTCTACGCGATCAGTCAGCGAGATCTCATACCAAATACTCAAAAATGTACGTTTGCTTCATTTAAAAATCGTTTATAAAAAATAAACTAAAAAGATATGAATTTTCAAGTTGACATACGCAAATCCCTAGTCGAGACTCCCGGCAAAACTCCCACGGGACTCCTGTCACGGGGTCCTGCGGGATCCTGTAGGAGTCAGGTGGGACTTTCAATGGATTTCTCAGGACTTCTGAAGACTCCCGTGGGACTTCTGTGGAGGTTTCGAGTCCTGGGGGAGTCCAACGAAAGTCCTCAGAATACTCAAAGTCCCACGGAAGTCTTCAGGAGTCCTGAGAAATCCCCTGAAAGTCCCACCTGACTCCTACAGGATCCCGCAGGACCCCGTGACAGGAGTCCCGTGGGAGTTTTGCCGGGAGTCTCGACTAGGGATATCCTATGAAATTTTTGTTACTGAATCCAGCAGCCACATACTTCGGGATAATTTTGAAATTTTGATGAATTTTTAATTAAATTGTGCTCGCTGCTCATGTCGTCACTAGTACTAATGTCATGGTGACCTCTGATATTTTAATAACCACTTCATGATGAGAAAACTCTTCTTTCTTCGTTGTTATTTCTTATTTCCAACATTATCTGGGCAGGATAGTTTCTGACCAAAATATTAGAAAGTATTGTTTATTACATGAATTCCAACCATGTTGTTCATAGAGGCGGAACCAGGATTTCGTGCTAGGCAGGGCTCAGCCCAGCACTTTTCTAGAGTTCGGTCTGAAGTAGTGCTAATAAATTTAAGCTGAATTTCAGGAAAAATTTTAAAAAACCGTCCAGGCGGGGCGCAGAGCTTTCTAGGCAGGGTTCAGCCCTGTTGGTGGCTCCGCCACTAGTTGTTCATAATTCTCATGATTTGAAGTATTTCATTGTTTGCTAGCTCCTTTCGACATCTCAGTATCTCCCTTAGTTGTGGCTATATTCTTTTTGGCTACTATAATACAATGACTGATACATAGCATGAGTTATAATTATCATATTTCGTTCGCCTCTCTTATTACCAAGTAAATGACCAATAGAACCAAACGTTTTGTATGGGTAACAGACTTTCACTGTAAAAATGTTTGTTGTACTATGAGTGACCGCAGTTCGAATTGAACTCTGATAAGAGGAAAAGAAATGCATTTCTAATCAACTGAAGGATTTTTAAATATATATTGCAACAACAACAACTGGAAAATATGTTTTTTACTACGATAGAAATAGAGGTTTCTCTTAAAAATTAACAACACGATCAGTGTTTCTGTCAAAGGAAGAATATTAAATATGAGAAAAATTAGAACTTTTACTATCCTAAGAGCTTGTACAAAATGCTTTGACAGCAATGTCTTCTTCAAGATCTAATCGAATGAAGGAGTAACCGTAGCTATTCTAACATTTTACGATAATTTAAACATCTAAAATGATCCCTAGTGAAACTTCTTGTACCCAAGATCTTGGGTTAAGAAATATCACAAGATCTTGGAAAAAACACCGAGAAATCAAGATCTTGAAACACAGTGGGCATTCAGGCGGACATTAGGCGAAAAAGTGAAGTCGTACTGTTTTCAAAAACAAATAGTGTAAAATGTAGCCCTTCGCATGGGCTATCGAATGGTGTATAAATGTCTATTTTGAAATCGATTCTTTCGAGGAGAAAATGGGATACAGAAAATCCATAACGGATATCGTAAAACACGACACATATATACAAAACCGTGGTTCTTTGCTCACTCAGCTATGCTAAACGATTTGAAAGCACATATTCGGAATCAGTATGTCCTCAACTATCTACCGGTAACAAAATGTTTCTACATCGAAACGAAATTCAATAAGTAACAGCTCATGGATTTCTCATCACGTCAGTCCGACATGAGACTACCGCAGTATAGTTCAGTCGCCCTCGTTAGCCCCACGCGAAATTAACATATAAATGCATCAAAATGTTTCCTAGGCCATGCTACATCACTGGGATTTTCCCTTTTTTCCCCTTTTTCTTGTAAGTCGAGTTATGGATTTTCCAAAACCCATAATGGGTTTTCAAGTATTTGATGATTTTCTCAGTCATAAGCGCACTTTACTCCAAATATAATGCCATATTCGGAATCAGCGTGGAAAACTGCATCGAATGGTGTATAACTCATCTAGTTTCGGTCACTCGATTTTGAATTCTAGAAATTTCTTAGTTTTCGAGATTCACACAAACAATTTCGTGCTGAAAATTTGAATTTCAAGATAAAGTAACCTGAACGACTCGAAACATGTTTCTTATAGGTTTTCGACAATGCTCTT